TGCCTTTTTCAGCCTTCTATAGGCCAGTCACATGCCTTGGCTCATGGCCCCCTTCTTTCATCTTCAAAGCCAGCAATGGCTGGTCAAATCTTTTATCTCATCATTCTAACACTAACTCTTCTAAATCGTTCTTCCACATTTAAAACACCTTTATTATTACTCTGAGCCCAGCCAGGTAATCTAGGATGATAATCTGTTTGAAGGTCAACTAACTGGTTAACAACCTTCATTCTGTCTGTAACCTTAATTCCTCCTTGCCATGTAATATAACAAGATATATCTTTGGAGAGCCATTATTTTGCCTTACCATATCCCTGTAGTGTGTTAGCTTGAAAAGACACTTGAAAAGGCTCATGAACACCAAAGATTTAAGGCCTTATTGCTTCTTTTGAATTTACAGAAGTGAGAATAACATTTGTTAATTAGTGTTTGCCAATAAATATAATTCTAGTATATGAATCTGTCAGTGATGTATCTAGGGAATCAGATGTCAGCTAATCCTTGTTCTTTAAATTATTGCACTTATAGTTCATATAATAGTTAATGTTCTCTAGTGATAATGTACTTTCACAGATGTACATTATGTGGAATAACTGCTTAATTTCAATGAAATTGGGTGATGTTTTAAAATATGATCTTTTTTTCAGTCATCATGTTTAGTTCACTGTGTATAAGAGTTAAATAATAGAAAAACCTTGAAATTTTACTTTTTTTCCTTTAATTTATTTAAAGGATTTGTTAAAGCTCTCATTTCTACAGTTAGTTTTTTTTGTAAAGCCCAACTTTGTCACCATTCGGTGAACTATAGAAAGCCAGAGGCAATTGGCAGGCCTTTGTTAAGTCTCCCATTACCTTCCACTCTGGCTGAGGGATCCTGGTTGGCAGGAGAGTGTAAAATGTTTGATTACTTCTGTTTGGATATGCATTTAATGATCCTGATACACCTTCAACGTGCCATCACTTTGTGCTAGGCTTGTTTCATATCCAGAATGGTTTAGAGCTGTTGTTAGACTTTTAATAGTCTTTAAATGATCTTGTATAAGATGCTTACTATTCCCATTATCTTTATTAAATTTGAGATACACACACACACAATCACTAAGAAATTATTGGGGGACCTGATAAGATCACTCACTTTACATTGTACCACTTAAGAGGAATCCCATCTACTAGTTCTATCATTTGATGAACAACAAATACGTAGGAAGGACATAAACTTGGAGTAAAGGACATTTTTCATAACTAAATCACTTTGAATTGAATTGACAGAGTTATGAAAAATGCTTCATACTGTCCTTTTTTTTTTCTTCCACAGTTCCCCATGGACTAATGAAAATTTTGTTAGGGACTATCATTAGGAACCCCTGAGTTAAAGGATAAAAAACTCTCTTTATTTTCTCTTTGGCCTAGAGAATGTGGTTTGTTACTTTGTAACCAAAGTCATGGAATTGTTAAAATATTATTATGACATGATTTTGGTCAACTTTTAATGTACTAAGATTTTGATATGTATAAAGACTCAAAAGTGTTAGAAAGAATTCCATTTTAAGCATCCTGCCTTATTAAACACTCTGTTTTCGTTATAGGTTCCATCAGGCTTGTTCATCCCCAGCATGGCCATTGGAGCAATCGCAGGGAGGATTGTGGGGATTGCAGTGGAGCAGCTCGCATATTACCACCACGATTGGTTTATCTTTAAGGAGTGGTGTGAGGTTGGGGCCGATTGCATTACCCCTGGTCTTTATGCCATGGTTGGTGCTGCTGCATGCTTAGGTAATGTCACTGTGTCTGGATGCTCGTGTATCTGAGAGAGAAAAGAGTGAGTGAGGGAGCGTTCATGCTTAATTGTTAGGGCGAGGTGAAGGGGAAGAAGGTACAGGACAGAGGAAGAGAATGTTTTAACAGAAAGAAGACAGTGCTACTATTATATTGTATTACACAGTGCTAGTTTTCATTTTACCTGTCTCTCAACATTTGTTAATGCAAAAATTTAATAATAGCATCTTTTTAATGTCATGTAATGCTTTATGATGGAAAACATCTCATAGGCTTACTTTGAATCCTGTCCAAGGAGATTTTTGGTTTTTTCATTGTCAAGGATCTTGACTTACCTATACCAACTGTAGCCTGCTTCCTAAGATTGGCATTCTAGCAAAGCTGCAGAATAGCTTTACTTTGGGCTCTGCGGTGATTTGTTTTCAGCCTCAGTAAAAGACTTCTTTACCAGCCTTCCTGGTAAATCTCAGATGCATTTATAGCAAAATGAGAATGGTAACTACTGTTTTAATGAAAAGCAAAATATCTGCATTGAATACTTAAGAGTTTATTTATTGTCCTTTTAGGCATAAAAAAGTAGCTATTTAAAATGTCATCTAAACTTTGGTTATAATATTTAGTAATGGTATTTTGACATACTTTTGTTCAGTGCATCAAAATTGTGTAAAGTAATTACTATCTTCACAAGTGTAATAGTGAATGAAAGTGAAGGGCAGAATCATTTTCACTAAAGTAGGAAGTATTTTTTAAGTATTCACTTTTTGTTTAGCACTGTGCTAGATACAATGAGTGATACAAGCAGAAGTATAAAACATGGACCAACCTCAACTACAATCAAGTTGGGGAGACAAGACCAACACCGAGAAGACAATAGTGAGCAACAGATAATGATTATATACAGTACTGAGAGAGTCTGTGAAAATTGCAGAAATCTAGAGGAAAAAAGCTGAAGTAGTTCCAGTAGGGTAGAACATGAGCTCTATTTTAAAAGATTAGTAGGATTTAAAAGAGAGGACTTTGTCGAAGAATATAATGTGAAGACAAAGTAGTTTAGGATAAGAATAGATTTAGCATTCATGGGACGCTGAAGAAACTGACAACGTTGAAGTAGAGAGTGTGTTTTGAATACTTTTGGGAAGCAAAGTTGGATTGGTGATAAAGAGCCAGATGGTGAGAAGGAAATGATTTATGTCAGGATAATGATTTATGTTTGGAATTGGTCAGATTTGTAACAGAGTCATGGCTTTGACATTTTTAGCTTGATGACTTTGGGAAAGTTTTTTTAATCTTTAAAATGGAAGTAATAACTAATCTGTAGTTGTTTTGAGGACAATATGAGATAAAATATAAAGCTATATAAAGCTGTTAGCGTAATGCCTGGTAAAATAAGAAATGCTTAGTTAAAAAATACTTTAAAAAAAAACCTTTGTAAACTGACTAGGATATGTCTGACATAGAGTAGATACATGATACATAGTAGGCTCTTTCTCACTTTTATTTTTAGGTTAAAAAACAAGAAGGAAAGGTTTAAGCTTAATGTAGTATGAAATGGTGAGCCCTGGTAAGTTCTTGAGCTAAGGAGCAACATGATGAAAGTATCACTTAGGAAAGAGAAACCTGGAAACATGGCTTAGATAGTGGATCGAACATAATGGGGCCTAAAGTCAAGGAGGTGAGATAAAATAGTATTAAAATTAAGGACCAAAGTCTCGAGGGTCTTGACTAGGTTGGTAATGGTGTGAATACTGAGAAAGGGACCCATAGATAGATATTTTGCAGAGCAAATCAAATAGGACTGGGTGAGAGTCTAGATGTTAACACCAAAAACGATGACTACGAGGTTGTCAGGAAGAATGTGGTACCTAGTGTTGCAGTCAGGGAAGTTGGAATGGGGAGCCCTCTGGGAGAAGAGGAGGAGTTTGGTTTTAAGTGTGTGGTGTGTTCTGGGACAGTGGTCATCTGAAGTCTTTTTACAGGAAAAAGAGACAAGCACAATAAGACAAGGCGTGCATAGTCGGAGATGTGGGGCAAATGTAGCGGTAGCTAGAGAGCTGTGCGGGAGGCATCCACACAGAGATGATAGTTCAGAATGATGATTTGGGTAAATGAGTAGATGAGTTTTCTAAGGGGGATGAATATTACACTGCTAACAAATCACAAGGTGTCAAAGTATTTTACCCATTTTGAAAAAATTTAGAGAAGTGTGCTAAATTAATATTCTACCCACATATGAATTTAATTTGTAAACTGATAATAAAGAAGATAACTGTGATGTGCTTCACCAAATTCTTTAAGAATTAATGATAAGCTTTTATATGTGTGAAATGTCTTTGCTATAGCAATAAATCGAAAATGGCAAACTTATTTTAGCTGGCCAGTTGTGCTTTTTTTATATGAAGCAAAAAAGTCTTCTGTGTTATAAAAAAGATTGGTGTTTCTCTAGATCTTATTAAAATAGTGATAATTTGCTAAGTTCTCTTTACAAGTTGTTTTCAACTGCCTAGTGCAAAATGTTTTACTAGCATGTTTTGATGAGGATCCAGTCTTTCCTGACCAATGATGCTTATTTTTTCAGGTGGTGTGACAAGGATGACTGTGTCCCTGGTGGTTATTGTTTTTGAGCTTACCGGAGGTTTGGAATATATTGTTCCCCTTATGGCTGCAGTAATGACCAGTAAATGGGTTGGAGATGCCTTTGGCAGGGAAGGCATTTATGAAGCGCACATTCGGTTAAATGGATACCCTTTCTTGGATGCAAAGGAAGAATTCACTCATACCACTCTGGCTGCTGACGTCATGAGACCTCGAAGGAACGATCCTCCTTTAGCTGTCCTGACACAGGACAATATGACAGTGGATGATATAGAAAACATGATTAATGAAACCAGCTACAATGGCTTTCCTGTCATAATGTCAAAAGAATCTCAGAGATTGGTGGGATTTGCCCTCAGAAGAGACCTGACAATTGCAATAGGTACCTTTTTAAAAAAAATACACACCTATCTATATCTATCGGTATATATCTAGGTAGATAGATATAGATATAGCATAGATTTCTGGAAGAAAGGAAAGGGATAAAATTTAGTTGGTTGTGTTGAGAGGGACACAGGGTGTGTTTTATGTCCCTTAAAGTCTTAAGTTCTTTAGGAAAGGAGTTTATACTTCCATAGATTGTTTTCCTGCTG